ACTCCACGTTCTCTGTAAAATCCTCTTGAGATGACTCTTCCTCACAAAGCAAGTACTCTGGGGCATGATATTTTTTCAAAATGGCGATTACTATAAAGTCCGTTAAGATCCAAACTAGCTTGTTTCACTACATTCCCCGTGCACTCGATGGATTTTACTCCCGGCGGTCTTTATCCCCCAGTAAATCTCATCGTTGCAGAAACACGTCTAAACCTTCACCTCAAAGCAGTCCCAGAGAGACTTTAAACTGACAGTCCCTAGAGAGACTTTAAACTGACAGTCCCCAGCGAGACTATAAGCTGACAACACTTTGGACCAATCCGATAATCTCCAAGACTACAAAGATCATACCAGCATCTTCCCAGTGATAGTCCCCAACGAGACTTTAAGCTGACAACACTTTTGGGAGCCATCCGATAAATCCCCAGTGAAGTCGTCATTTTCTTTTGCGGTGGAAACAAGATATCAAACTATTAATTAGTTTGAATCACAATTCTTGATTCACAACCGCTCTTTGATTTATCCGAAGGAAAAGGTCAAAAGAGGGAAAACCTATTTTTGCATCATAAACACAATGCGGGGAAAGACCTAGGTAAGGGGTTGGTTAAATTCAGGGAAGGTACTAGCACCCTAAACTTCTGTAGTACTCTACAGGAACCTTTTGTTTATTGTATGCTTTTTTATTTTATTATCTGTTTGATGTATATATTGAGCTAAGGGATGGAGTGACCTAAAAGACCTAAGGGCTAGTCCTAAGTTTACTCGGCAAGACATCACATCTTGTGCCTACGTATCCTGGATAGGGAATGGAATCAGAGTAATCGTAGTTCCCCTCGAAAGGGAGGTTAGAAACTTCTTGACGGTGGTCAAGGTTTCAATGGGGAGTAAGCATTTCTTAAGGAAGCGCTTACGTGGAGTGCGGAGACTCCAATCTCTACGTTGAAATTATTAGTCGAAATTAGGGTTAAATTAGGGATTCCACGGCGGGAAACCCTAAACAGAGTACGACGACTCTTTGACCTAAAGCTAGGGTAAAGGGCGTTTTCGTCCACGGCGGGACACCTAGGCTATTAGGGTTTTGGAAACGGTCAAGAATTAGGGTTATTGACTCGGCGGTCAAACGGCTAGACCTAATCCTTCAGAAGGGAATTAACGGTAAAAAATATGCAAACAACAAATATTATCATACGGCAGAATTAAAGTACGAAAGATAATGAAAGCAGTAAAAGAAAGCATTGTGTCGATCACTCGTGTAAATTACAAATTCCAAAATGCAAAAATAAATAACTGCGACGATAGCCTCACATAAATTACAACCCAAAGAATGTAAAAATATAAAACGAAATAAAAGCGACGATGTCCTCGCATAAACTACAACCATAAAAATAGATGTGAAAAAAAATAAAGGATTAGTAGCCACGGCCAAAATGAGAGCCGATAAAATTCAGATGATAATTAACGGGAATGCTGGAAATTTTTATTTTAGACTTTTAGGTTAGAAATTAGAATGAAAGGGTTTGTAAGTACCTAAAAATAATTTTAAGTCTAGTGTTGAAAAATGTTAGTATTAATTTATTTAAAAAGTTTTAAAATAAAAAAAAGTTTTAATTTTAAAAAGGGTTTTGATTTTTGAAACACAAAGGATTTCATCCTCAAAAAGGCGTTTTAGTTTAAGAAAAGTTTTAATTTAAAAAAAAGTTTTACTATAAAAAGAAGGTTTTAATTTAAAAAAAGGTTTTACTATAAAAAAAAGTTTTAATAATAAAAATAAGGTTTTAATAAAAAAAAAGGTTTTAATAAAAAGGTTTTAATAAAAAAAAAGAAATGTTAGTAATAAATTAAAACATAATGTGATTACTAATTATAGTTAAAAAAAAAAGAAATAACAAGATAATATAATAATATAATAAAAAATAAAAATAAAAATAAAAGGAGTGGAGTGGTGCGGTGACATTGTTTTTAGGGTTTGGGAAAAAACCTTTTCCTTTTTTTAGGGTTTGGGAAAAAAACCCTTTCCCTTTTTATTCTCAACCGGCGGCAGCTGTCTTCCATGGTTCAGAGTCTTTTCTCCTCATCTTTCCTTGCATGTCAATGGTTCCTTCGTCTATTTATTCTTCCCATTAATCTACAACCAATGAACAAAACAACATAGAAAAATTGTAAAATGATGTAAATAAAAGGAAAAAGAAAGGTTACGGTAACGAAGACGAAGTTGAATGAATAAAATGAGCCTCCACCGTTGGAACTTTTAGCTCGCCGGTAGCGCTTGGCCGATGATGAATTCAAGCCTTTTAGGGTTCTTCCGAAAAAATTCCCTCTTCCTCTGATGACCTGCTCTTGATTTTCTGATGTTAATGAAGTTTCCTCCCATCACTTATGTTTATATAGGTAACACATTAGGGTTAACTCTAACCTAATGCCCACTTTAAAGCCCAACTTAAATAATTAGTTAAAACTAAATAAAATTTAAACAATTTAAAATAAACTTAAAATTCTATTTATTTATACTAAACATTAAAAACATTATAAAATGAATAAAATCTTTTCTAATATTTTTAATTTTATGATTTTTGGATGTTTTTATGAATAATATGAAAAAAAGTGAAAAAAATAATATTTTTTAAAAATTAATTTAAATAAAATACGAAAATAATAATTAAATAATAAAAAAACTATTTTTGTTATTTTCTTTTTATGAAAATAGAAAAGTTAGAATAAAAATAAAAGAAACAAAATAAAAAGTGAAGAAGGTGGGATTCAAACTCTCGACCTCTCACACTCACAACTCCTTACACAAGGTCTCTTACCAATTGTGCTATTTTATTCATTCAAAATAAAGTGGCACTAGAAACCCTGTAAACTAAAAAGAGCGCGCCACATGATATTTTCTTGCAACAATCAACCAATTGCACAGCCCGTTAGTGGTTAGCTTAAACGCAATGCAAAATGAAATGGGATGCAAGATGAAACGATTAATCTTAGGGCAAAATTTGTTGTATTACACAACTGTTGAAAGAAATAAATATACCACTATTTGAGGGGTCTTCTGACTCCATGTTATCCATGTGTGTGAGACTCTTGGCTGCGAAGTCAAATTGGAATGTTCCTGATCAGTGTTTAGAATTCTTTACAAAAATGATGTTGGATGCGACTCCTATGAAAGAAAACATGCCTACAAGTTATTATGATGCGAAGGGAATGGTGTCAAAGTTGGGACTAAAAGTGGAAAAGATTGATTGTTGCTTTGGAGGTTGTACGTTGTTTTATGATAACGAGTTTTGTACAAGTGATGGGGGATTGGAGGAATGTAAGTTTTGTCAGAGTTCGAGGTATTTAGCTCGCAGTAAAGATGTTGATCGAAAACAAAAACGAATTGCAGTGAAGTCCATATTCTATCTGCCAATAATTCCTAGATTGCAAATGATGTTTGCGTCAATTCAAGTCCAAGCCAAATAACATGGCATCATACAAATTCTAATAGTTCAGGCATGATGTGACATCCATCTGATGGCGAGGCATGGAAACACTTTGATATAGTACATACATATTTTGTAGCAGAACCTATAAATGTCAGGCTCGGATTATGCTCAGATGGTTTTACTCATTATATCCAATCGTCAGCAATTGCCTATTCTTGTTGGCCAGTTATTGTTACCCCGTACAATATACCTCCTGGGATGTGCATGACAAAACCTTACATGTTTTTGACATGCCTCATTCCAGGATCGTCGAGTCCAAAAGTGGGAATATATGTTTATTTGCAACCGTTAATTGATGATTTGAAGAGGTTGTGGATTGGAGAATGGACTTATGATGTGTCTCGCAGACAAAAATTTAATATGCGAGCTTCTTTGATGTGAACAATTAATGACTTTTCTGCATATGGCATGTTGTCTGGTTGGGGTATGCATGGCAAAATGGGATGTCTGCATTACATGAGACACACAAAAGCGTTTACCTTGCAAATGGGTAGTAAAAGTTCATGGTTTGACTGTCACCGAAGATTCTTACCTATGAACCATGTTTTTAGAAAAAATAAGAATGTTTTTAGAAAAGGAATAAAAGTAACAGATCTTCCTCCCCCTCGTCTGTCATCGACTGAAGTATGTAATAGTGTTAGTGACCTGTCAAAATTCACAAATGATGGTAAAACATGCAGAATTCTAGGATATACGGATACTCACAATTGGACAAAAAGAAGTATTTTTTGGGACTTCCCATATTGGAAGGATAATTTGTTGCGACATAATCTTGATATTATGCATATTGAGAAGAATTTTTTTGATAATGTATTTAACACAGTTATAGATGTCCAAGGCAAGACAAAAGATAATGAGAAGGCTAGAAAGGACTTGGAACTTTTGTGTAATCGAAAAGACTTGGAGTTAAAACCTCAACCAAATGGAAAATTATTAAAACCCAAGGCTTGTTACACTCTTAATCCCCAAGAAGCAAAAGCATCCTGCCGATGGTTAAATGAGTTGAGGATGCCTGATGGTTATTTTCTAACTTAGCAAGATGTGCTGATGCAAAAACAGGAAAGCTGCATGGAATGAAAAGTCATGATTGTCATATTTTCATGGAACGATTGCTTCCAATTGCATTCAGTTCACTTCCTAAACATGTTCTTAATCCACTAATTGAGATTAGTCCATTTTTTAAAGACATTTGTGAGTCAACTTTACGAGTGGATGACATCTTTAAGTTGGACCAAAATATTCCTATCATTCTCTAAAAGTTAGAGCAAATATTTCCCCCGGGTTTCTTTGATTCTATAGAGAATATCCTTGTGCATATTTCTTACAAATCTTACCTTGGCGGGCCTGTTCAATATAGATGGATGTATCTATTTGAACAATTCATGGATGATTCAAAGAGATCAGTGAAAAATAAGGCAAGAGTTGAGGGATCAATATGTGCACATTATTTGCATCAAGAAACTTCACATTTTTGCTCTCATTATTTCAATCATATGATGTTGACTCCGAGAATCATAAGGAATGAAGTTCACTTTAGTTGAAGAAGTCAATTCATCTTATCGGTTTTTTGGTCGTCTCGGTCCTCCTTCTGGAAAGACGAGTGTGCATTGGTTGTCTGAAAAAGAAATGCAATCTGCTCATGTTCATTTGTTGATTAACTGCATTGAAGTTAAACCATATCTTGAGTAAGTATATTAAATTAAGTTTGTATTTTTTTTTGCTAAATATACTTATCAGTTTAACATAGATTTTTTCTTTTTTGAAATAGGGCATTTAATACCTATTATTTTCAAAGCACGGGTGAACAACCATCGACTGGTTACACACATGTCTATTTTCCTGCATGGTTCAAGCAACAATTACATTGCATTGTTGCATAAAGTCCTAAAATAATTCATTTGAGAAGTTTTTCTGAAGGCCCTCATCAGTGTGCAAATGAATGACACACATACTTTGTAAACGAATATAAATTTCACACTCAAACATGGACAGAATGGAAGAAAATAATAAACAGTGGTGTAGTTGTAAAAGGAGTTACGGGGAGTGGTGAGGACGACTTCTATGGTGTTCTCACACATATTTATGAGTTGGTATATAATTATTATGAACTCGGAAAATAAAGTTGTCATATTTTATTGTGATTGGTATGATCCATCTTCCAGAGAAACTAAAATAGATAAAAAAATATATAACACTGTTGAGGTACAAATGGATAGAAAGTACAAAGAGTATGACCCTTTCATAATGACACATAATGTTAGAAAAGTTTACTATGTTCATTATCCTTCAATTTAACCAAGTAAACAAGGATGATGTGTTGTAATCAAGTCCAATCTAATGGGTTATATTGAATCTGACGGTGTAACGGAATATGATGTTGAATACCAAGATGATAAGATTTCACCAGTGAATGGGGTAATTGAAATTGAGGAGATTACAAGTTTGGGTGATATTGTAGTTGTGGGCCAACAAGTTGACGCAACCATCTTGTTATCAGCAAATCATGTGGAAGAAGAGGAAGAAGAGTTAGGAGACTCTGAAGACAACAATATCGTATCTGATGAAGACAATGATGATTATGATGATGAATAAATTAAATAATATGTATTATGTAATTATACTATTGTGTAATAATACTACTATGTAATATATATTGTTATAATAATATTGTGTAATTGCTTGAATTAATTTACTTTTGTCATTTTATGAAATATTTTAGTTTTAAAATGCCACCCCGAAGTGAGGAAAAGGGTAAGGGTAAGGCTCGCCGCACAAGGTTCATTGTAGAAGAGGTTCCTGATTCGTCTATGTTTATTCCTATGCCACTTTTGAGTCAGATGCATCCTACTCCATTGCCTATGCACCCTACTCCACCGCCTATGCAGACTTCACCCATGTCTGGTGGATCTTTCACTAGATTACTATCCACACCTGATTTTCCTTCATTCCCACCGATATCTGCACCGGCCTTTATTAGTCCCCATGGATATGCACCTATTATACATCCCAGTACCCCGCACCCCTCATGTTTTCCGATGCCTTCCATGTATTCGAGCGGGCCTAGCTTTCTGATGCCTTCCATGCAGTATTCTATGCCATATACGGAGGCTGGTGGATCTAGCATGCCACATTCATCACCCATGCATTCTACGCATGATGAGCAAGATGATGTGGGTGATACTAGTTCTCATGGTCATGGAGGTACCAGTTCTTATGATCATGGAGATACTAGTGCTCCTAATAGTTCTCATGAGGAGCGAAGGAGGACACACATTCTGAGAAATGCAAAGCCCCAAACAATTAGGAAATACAAGGGTAGATATGTCATTCGTTGATGAAGGTATGTTTTATATATTATTTTTTAAAAATTTAAATTTGAGTTTTTTTTAATGTCAATACTAACTCAAGATTTTGTTGTTCAGCCTTATACCATCACACCAGACAGTATCGTGTATAATAGAAGTTATTAAAGAAAAGTATAAAAAAATTTGGCTGACATATGGAGCACTTCTCAAAAAAGAGAAGGAAGATTGGTTTAGTTTATTTTAGGTATAAAAGTAACTATTATTTTAATTTATTATAGATTCAGTTTATTTCATGATTTTAAATTATTTAATATTTTTAAAATTCATAAAACAATGTAGGAGAAATGTGTTTGTGACTTTACAGAGCAGCAACAAGTAAGAGAAAATTTTGATACAAAATGTGTAGCCCGATTATCCGACACGCCTAGACGTGTTCGAATTAAATGGGAAAGTAAAGAAACACATCCCTGTTTGATAGGTGAAGACGTATTTAAGAAACTTATTGACCATTGGAATTCGGAAACCTTTAAGTAAGTATCTGAAACAGCAAAAAAAAAACAGGGCATCTGAAGTTGGTGGCTGCAACTACGCAGCAGGAAGTATTAGTGTTGCTGAAATTGCACATAGGCTGGTAAATTTATTTATGTTTTTACTTAAATTTTCATTTAAAATTTAGATTAAAACTAACTATTTTTTCACTTATGTTTTATTTTATTAGCGTGATGAGTTGGGTAGAACTCCGATGCTTAATGAGATCCATCTAGAGACTCATATCAAGAAAAATGGGGAGTTTGTCGATAAACACTCAAAGGACACTCAAGTAAGTTTTGCTAAAATTTAGTCATTTTATTTCTTTCTTTTATAACATCTTATTTAGTCATCCTTCCATTTAGTCATCTTATTTAAATTATTATAACATCTAACTTTTTTTATAGGAGGAGTATGATCGAAAACTTGAACTTTCTTTATCTAAGCATCCTAAGTTACCTCCACCACCACAGGGTATCCCTGTTGATCCTTGTCTAGGTTTTCAGACTTGGTATGATGCTGCTCGCAGGAAGAGGAAAAATGGAAGGGTGTATGGTGTTGGAGGGTATGTCAAAACAATTAAGCGGCGTGATAGGACTTTTATGATGAGACTTGATGATGGAGAAAGATCATCACGCCCACCTATATTAACCGCTGATATGCTTGAAACTATAAGAAATTTGGCACAGACCGAGGCAGCAACTAGACAAGCAGAGATGGAGGAAATGAGGAGAATACAAGCAGAAATGGAGGAAGAATTGAGGAGGAAAATAGCGGAGTATGAAGAAGCAATGCGGATTGCAAATGAGCGTGCATTGAAATTTGAACAATTTATGGCCTTGAATATGAATCAAGGTGTGGGAGAAAGAGATGAGGAAGATGAGGAGGATGATGAAGTTGATTAAATTTGTTAAAATATAAAACTTTTAATATGTATTTTTATATTTTATTTTATTTTTGTCATGAATTATTTTTATTTTGATGATGGATGTGGATATTTAATTTTATTGCACTTTTAATTATAAATTATTATATTTACAAAATTTAAAAATATATATTTATTTATTATATAATTATATTAAAATGTATATTTCTTTGTTATATAATTATATTATTCTAATTATAATAATATAATTAAATAATATAATTATAAATTTTAATAAAAATTTATTATATAATTATATTATTATTCTAATTATAACAATATAATTAAATTAATATAATTATAAATTTTAAAACAATATTATAATCATTAGCTAGGGGTTAAACCCCTCACAAATTCCAAAACGTAGGACAATTTGTTAGGAGTTTTACCCCTCGCAAAATTCTGACACATACAACTAGGGGTTTTACCTTTCACTAAATTCAAAACACAGGTATGTTAGCTAGGGGTTTACCCCCTCGCAAATAATCTGACACGAATGTGTCACTCTGTGGCACTAGCTGTGTCTATGTCTACAGCGCAACAGACTGAATTTTTTTCATGATATTTTGCGAGGGGCTTACCCCCTAGCCAAATTTGCAAGGGGTTTATCCCCTAACCAATAATTTGGGATACCCTGATTAGTGAGAGGTTTAACCCCTAACTAAATGCAGTTTTTTTTAGTGAAATTAATATTAATAATATTATATTTTTGAATGTTAATTTGGTTTTTATATACAAAATTAATTATGTTTTTAAATTTATGTAAAATGTCATTTTATAATTTGAGATGGAGGGAATATAGATTGTAAAATTATAATGATAATCTTAACCATAAAATATCCTTAATAATTAATAAACTGAATATTACAACCAATTTTCTTAATTTTCATACTTTTACTCTATGAAGTCTTATATTTTGACAGGTATAATAAATTTTGAAAATAATACTGAAATTTATGAAGATATTAGTCCATCTTTGGAATTTTGCTTAACCAATAAAAATTTGCGTGGTAGTTATTATATTGACTTGATTTTATTTCAAAGAAAAAATATTTATACTATTTTTTAATTATTAATGATAATCATTAGCAAAATTCATAATTATAATAAGGTCGTAAATTTTAAAATGTATGTTGTATTATTTTATTTTTCGAATACAATAAGTCAAAATTAAATATATCTATTTACAAAAAGTAGTACAAAAAAATTATGCTTGTAAAAAGAAAAAGAATAAAAAATTTAATTTCAAAAATCAAACTTATATATATATATATATATATATATATATATATATATATATATATATATATATATATATATATATATATATATATATATATATATATATATATATATATATATATATATATATATATATATATATATATATATATATATATATATATATATATATATATATATATATATATATATATATATATATATATATATATATATATATATTATATATATATATATATAATCTGACCTGATCAGAAGGGGATCACGGGCTGGCCACACTCTATTGGACTGCTACTTGTTCGCCGATGATGAGGAGGAGAAGGGGGGTGTACCTGCAAAACACTCTGATGCCAAAGTAAGAAATTGGGCAGAGTGAGAGCAACGTACAGAAAGGGCAAGATGTGAATTACCTGACCCTCTTGCGGAAGAGGGTATTTATAGAGAGACCCCAGCGCTGGGCCAACAGTCATTTGAGGTGGGCTGGATGGCCAGGCCCAACCCTAATGACTGCTAGGGCTTACGTGGCGTAGTGAAGACCAGAACGTGGTCTTCGCCCTAGTCCAACCGTCCCGTGATCTCCGGAAAGTGGGTTTGACCTGCTCTTTCGGAGGTGGGCAGTTGGGGATGACGTGTCCCCGCGAAGGGGAGCACGTGGAGAACGTGCGCCAGGCACGTTGTTCTCCCCGCGGAGGGGAGCTCGGGAGGTTCCCCGGAGGACATTGTTCTCCCCGCGGGGGGGGGAGCACGCAAGGATGCGGGAGAGCCATGTGGTCTTGCTCGATGGACCGGGGATGCTCTGTTCGGCCGAAAAAGGGGGCATTGAGGACGCTACGGGACGTGCCGTCCCGCTCGGCGGGGAGCGTGCCTTGCCCGTCCTATG